TTTGGAAATTCTAAGGTGATTCTAGAATTTATATATGAGAGCACAAAGGGCTAAGAATAGTCAAGGGAACTGTAAAAAGTAAAAACAGAGTGGGAAAATGTACACTACCAGATATAAAGACTTACTATAAAGTTATATAAATCAAGACAGGATGGGTTTAGTACCAGATAGGAAATAGGCCAATGGAACAGAATAGAGTATCAGGAAACACACCCACCCATATACTATTTCATGATCTATAGCAAATGTGTCACCGAGGCACGGTAGGAAAATAATCATATAAGTGGTTCTAGGTAAGTTGGAAGCCCTGATAGAAAAAAAAAAAAAGTCTATCTTGACCCCTACCTCACACCAAACAGTCATCTCTGTATGGCGTGCAGATCTAAATGTAAGAGGTAGAGCAATGAAGCTTTTGGAAGAAAGTGTAGGAGACAATCTTTATGATCTTGGAGTAGGCAAAATTTTATTGAAAAAGGCACAAATACTGGAAACAGTAAAGAAAGAAAAAAGATTAATTTGACTATGTAAAGATTAAGAAACTCTACCAAAAGCTACCACAAAGAGAATGAAAAAGAGAATACAAGCTGTAGAAGATAGTAGCGATCCATATGTTCAACAAAAAACTCCCATCTAGGATATAGAAAGAGGGGCTCAATTGGTTAAGTGTCCAGTTCGTGATTCCAGCTCAGGTCTTGGTCTCTTGGTCTCAGGGTTGTGAGTTTGAGCCCTGTATTGGGCTCCATGCTGGATGTGAAGCCTACATAAAAAAAAAAAAAAAAAAAAAAAAAAAAAAAAAAGAATACATAAAGAGCTCTTACCAATCAAAATGAGAAAGAGCTTAATTAAAAAGGGGGGAATAATTGAATAAGCATTTCGCGGAAAGTGATATTCAGATGCCCAATAAACATACAACATGTTGAAGTTCATTAGTCATCCAGGAAATTAAAATAAAAACCACAATGAAGTAACAGGACATACCCTTCAGAATGGATAAAATGAAAAAGAAAGGTAATACCAAGTGCTGACAAGAATGCAGAGCAACCAGAACTCTCATACTTTGCTGGTTTGAGTATAAATAGAGAGCTAATTTGGAAAACTACTCCTACTGAACATATCTATGCCCTGGGACCCTGCGATCCAGCAATCCCATTTCTAATTATACACCAAGCAGAACTTTGTATAAATTCACCAAAGATACATGCAAGAATGTTTACAGAACCACTGTTCGTAGTGTCCCAAAGTGGAAACTACTCAGATGCTCTATAGCAATAAAATGGACAAAGTGCCCGTCCTCTGAGCGGAATACTAGACAGCAGTGAGAATGAAAAAAATCATAATATGGGCAGTAGTATGAATTGTCAAAGGCCGTGCTAAGCCCAAGATAGAATGGAAGGCTGTTTATTCATAAACCTGTGGCAGGGGGACCTCTGCCATCACTTCTGTTTCAGCGGGAGTTCAAAGGGGGGTAGGAAGGAGAGCCAGTTTCATAGAGGAAACAAGAGACGCTAAGGTAGTCTCTGATTTCCGAGTGTGCTGTTAATAAGGTGGAAGTTTTGCAAGACTTTCTAATTGGTCTCGAGGTGCTTTTGACCATTCTTGATGGACAGCAAGGGGGCTGGCTCCCTACTGCTTGGCAGAGGAAGGTGCACCCCCATCAAGTGGCCCGCAAAGCCCACCCAGTCCCAGTTGTCCTGCCCTGCTTCTCACTCTGCCCTCCAGGAACATCAGCTTCCTTTTGCATCCTCTGAAGTGCCATAGTCTCTTCTTCCTCCATATCTGAGATGCTTATACTCCAGTGGGAGGTAAAGACACCGTCAGGAAATTCTAGAAAGGGATATAAAATTATAAGTGGAATTAAACCATGAAAGAAAGGAACATATAAGAAAAGAAATTGGCTAGATTGCAGGATGAGGGCTGGCTTATCTGATATGGTTTGAAGTCTGAATAATTTAGAGGCAGACAGGATGGTAGAGGAAGAAGAGGAAAACAGTATGTGCAAAGGCCCTGAGGCAAGAGAGAGTGTAGTCACTATCAGGAATTGAAAGAAAGAGCACACAAAGCAAAAGGTAAGCAAGAGGCTTCTAGAACATCATGAGGATTGGGACTTTACCACCAGCGAGTGGTATTTGAAGCAGGTGGTGACATGATAATATTTCATTAGAAAAGCCAGTCTCTGACTGCAGGATAGATGGGGAGGCAGTTTAAATGCCAAGAGACCAGTTGGAGGGAAATGCAACGGTCCTGGCCAGAGAGAATGGGCTGGGGTGGTGGCAGTGAGGTTGGAGAGAGTTGGAGAGATTCTAGAAAACAACCCGGGAGGTGAAATTGGCAGAACTTGGTGATGGTCTGAGTGGAGGTGGGCAGGTGGGGGAGAGAGAGTGGGGCGCCACAGAGGACCCAGGGATTTTGTTCCCCTGCGGGGATACCAGTACCTTTTCTAAGGCAGAGGCTCGGTCTGGCCCCGGTTGGGGCTCAGAGCGGAGACATGTATCAGTCGGTTGGGGCGAGGTCAATTTCAGGTGGGGCATGAGAAGTGGAGAGAGGTCAGACAGAACAAATGATGAAGGTCTGCGGTCCAGAGGAGAGGTCAGAGCCACGTAAACAATTAATTGGCCTTCAAACATAACTTGTGGATTTGTCCACGTTTGTTTCAAGTTTGAGAAATTGTTACTTGGTTTTCACTTGTTTCTTTCTCCCCTTTTGTTTGCAGAGCTTGTTAATTTTTCTTTCTGCCCCTCTCTCATTTGTATGTCTTTTTTTTTCATTTAAATGTTTATTTATTTTGAGAGAGTGCGCATGCAAACGGAGGAGAAGCAGAGAGAGAGAGAGAGAGGGAGGGAGGGAGAAAGAGAATCCCAAGCAGGCTCCACACTGTCAGCACAGAGCCCGACGTGGGGCTTGATCCCATGAACTATGAGATCATGACCGAAGCTGAAATCAGGAGTCGAATGCTTCACCGGCTGAGCCACCCAGGAGTCCCTTGTGTGTTTCTTTTGACTCAGAGGCTTTCTAAGGCCACCACCTCCATCTCTGTAGATGGGATGCGCCCTTCACCCCTGCGGGCTGCCTTGCCGTGTCACTGTGGGGTGTTACTAGCAGACAGACAGACAGATAACAAAAGGGGCTGCAGTTGCAAGGCCTTTGGAGGTTATTTGAACGTGGGAAACAGGTTGCTGTTTGGGGCAAGGCTATTTTCCAGCGCAAAAGACCTGAGCTGTGCCGAGGTGCCTTTCAGAAGACATGCCTGGTGCATCTAAATCTCCAGGCGTGGGCTCAGCCTTCACCCTCCCGGGGGTGGGGGACAGGTTGTTGGACAGCTTCTGGCTTCTGGCAGGCATTCAGACGAAGCTGGTGAGGAGGACAGAAGGGGAGAGAGAAGGCTGGAGGGGAGGGTTCGTTTCCAAGCACGAATAAAAGCACCTAGGAATGATTTTCACAAGTCAGATGAGCCAGAATGAATAGACGCAGCACATGTTTCTACGTGAACTTTACTAGGCAGCACTGATTCAGAAACTCAGAACCGTAGCGGGATATACCTGGATCCTGAGTCCAGATGGATTTCACAGGAGGAAAAGAAGGGCTCCGAGGGCTTCACCTGGCGGAATGTTCCAGAGGATCACTACACTGGTGTTTAGTTCCAGTATTTTAAAAATTAAAAAGGACGGTGCTCAGAAAGAATCTTCCGTATCGATTAACAACGAATGTTATAAACGACCGAGGCTCGAGGGAAAAAGATGTGTTTTCCACGCGAAGGTGGTTGTTTCGCATGGTCTATCGGGTTGACCCCCACTGTGGGAAGTCCATTCATGGCCGTTGTCATCTCCGTGATCTCTGTGCGGTGGTGGTGGTGGGGGGGTGATGGCGGGTCTGGCTTTGGGCCCAGCTGTCACTGGATCATTGCTGGGGGTGGAGGGACAGCCAAGGAGAAGCCCAGCGTCTCTTAGTCAGACTGTTAGGTTTGTGGTTCGTGGCATCTAGTGTGTTATGTTCCCAAGTCATTTTCCAAAGGAAGTTTCTAGAGGGACTTGGCAGTTTTTACTGAGGTTGTTTTTCCACACGGAACTCGACTACTGTGTGTGATGTAATGTGCAGAATCAAGAAATACGTAAACGCTTGTGTCTTTATGTGTGATCAACAGGTAGAGCTGAGCAGAGACCAGGCACTCTCGTAAGTGTTTAAGGAGTGTTAAACTATCGAAGGCTCACGTTCATCCTTTATGCTTGGTGCTTATAAGACCCTCTTTTTACAGATGAGTCAACAGTGGCACAGACGGGTCGGTTAGCCGGCCGAGGCCACGGGGAGCGTGAACAGTGGGGCCAGGGTGTGAAACAGCGTCTTCCACCTCTGGGACCTGCTGTTGGCCCTCGAACCATGCAGGGGTTAGGGGTGCCGACACCCTGTGCAGTCAAAAATCTGGGTATAACTTCTGACTCTCTAAAAACTTAACCGCTGGGGCATCTGGGTGGCTCAGTCGGTGAGGCGTCTGACTCTTGATTTCAGCTCAGGTCATGATCTCGTGGTTCGTGAGTTTGAGCCCCAAGCTGACAGCACAGAATTTGCTTGGGATTCTCTGTCTCCTTCTCTCTCTCGCCTTCCCCTACTCTCTCTCTCTCAAATAAACATTTAAAAATGAAAAAAAAAAAAAAAAAAAAAAAAAAAAAAAAAAAAAAAACCTAACAGCTTACTGTTGACCAGAAGGAAGCCTTACTGTTAACATAAATAGTCAATTAACACATATTTTGTATGATACACGTATTATATGCTGTATTCTTACAATAAAATAAGCTAGAGAAAAGAAAACGTTCTTAGAAAATCTAAGAAGAGAACATACATTCATAGTACTGAACTGGATTGAAAAAAATCCGCGTAGAAGTGTACCCGTGCCGTTCATAACCGTGTTGTTCGGGGGCTAACGGCACTTCCCTCATTGCTACGCCTCTACCGGGAACAGGTGGACCTTTTACAACGTGTAGTCCCAGTGACGTTTTATTTTCTCTTAGGAGCGACTGGGTGACCTCCTACAAGGTCATGGTGAGCAATGACAGCCACACGTGGGTCACTGTTAAGAACGGATCGGGAGACATGGTGAGTTTCCTCTTCCCTCTGTGCATGCCCTTGGTGTCCGGCTGTGCGGGTGTGTGCGGAGAGAGGCCGTGCGTGCCCCCTCACCGTCTGCGGGTTCCGCGTCCACTCACGCCGATGACGGGTAGCGCCCCTCTCGGCCGTGCCCCGAAGCTCAGTGCCAGGTGGCCCATTTAGAGCTAACGTGCGATCCCGGCCGCTGGGACGCGGTGTCTTCCACAGCTCCCGGGTCAGCCTTGGAGACGGGCGGCACGTGCAGTATGCTGGGGTCCCTCCCAGCGGCTCAATGACAGCAGCTCCCCAGCCTCTTCAGTGACCCCCATCTTTGCGCTCCGTGATCCGCTCCAGATCCGCCGGTTCTGACCACGCCACCCCCTTCCTCGGGTTCTCAGGCGCGTCCTTCCTAACGCGGTGTCCAGAGCCTTGGACAGTCTGACGGCAGCCTCCGGTCTCAACCTTCTTGCTCGTTCTTACCCCCTGCACACGCTCCTCCTGTGTTCCAGTGGCAGTGAGCTAGCTACTCTGCTCTTTCTGAATCCCACCTCTGGGCTTCGCCAGAGTCATTGCTGCCGCTTTTCTCTAGAATCCCTGCCGTCCCTACAGGTCTAAATAGTTTGCCTTCGAGGCCAGTTCACACGCCACCTGCTCCCTGAACCTCTGTCTGGTCCTTCCCTTCTGAAATCCCAGAGCTCCGTGGCTGTCCCTCTGTCATGGCACTAAGAGCTTTCGCCCGGATTGTCTAAGTCTTACCTCCTCCTTTTCTCCCCGCTGCCCCAGGAGATTGGGGGCGTCCTGAGGGCAGGGTCTACGCCTGATTCATTTCTCTTCTCCCCTCAATGCCCAGCACATATTGGGCGTTTCTCAGCAAAGTCTTATGGAGTGAATAGTTTACTGACCCTTTTGTCCCTTGGCAATCAGGCTCTGAAAGATCCTCCCTTTTCCCCCTCATGCCTAAATAGATATTTGAAGGAAACAGTGAAAAAGAGATCCCTGTTCTCAACGAGCTGCCCGTCCCCATGGTGGCCCGCTACATCCGCATAAATCCACGGTCCTGGTTTGACAACGGGAGCATCTGTATGAGGATGGAGATCCTGGGCTGTCCGCTGCCAGGTGGGCTTGCTTTTCCGTATTTGCTGCAGGTGGGGTGCTCGTGGAGAACGGGTGCCTGGCCGAGGTGACTACAGACGTGCCAAGCAATCTTTTTCTCGTGTAAAAAAAAAAATATATATATATATATATACATAGATATATATACCACGTCTATTGCAGAATGTTTAGAAAACAGAGCGAAGCAGAAAGGAAGTAAATAAAAAACTCCCATAACCCTCCTCGGAAACACCACGGGTATTTGGGGGATAGTAGCAAATGGACGTACCAGCCGTGGTTTTGCCGACTGGGATTTTAAGATGATGCGTGTTTCAAGGTTGAAAACTCACTCAACACCGCCACTCAGAAGCGAGCAAAAGAAAAAAACCTGGAGCGAATTTCTGGTGGCATGTTTCCTTGTCTTTGAGTGTTCCCTCTACTCTTCCTCTACCCAGACCGTGGGTGGGTAAGGGTGGCCGTGTACGTCGCCTCTTTTCGGTTGAAGTCGCTTTGCTTGGGTGCCTGTGTCTTGGGGTAAACGCTTGTCCCTTGAGGTCGTTGTATTCCCCGTGGCCTGTTTTCACACAGTGGCATCTGGGGGTGACCTCGGGGTGGCAGGAAGAGGCGGGCTTGAATTCACACGTGTCGTCTGGATCCTTGCTGGTACCTGCTCTGGACAGGCTGATCTGGTCTGGCTCATGACCGGCTCCATCTGGCCTTTCAGAACTTGTGAGTTTGTGCCCATGGGGAAGCCTTGTGGATGGCAGCCCCTTCATCCTGACTGGACATCTCCAGGGAAGGAAGTGGGCTCCTAGAACGTTCCTAAGGCTCTTCATCAGGACCTGTAGGAATTTCCACATCCCTGTCCACCTGCAGTCGGTCCCCAGGGTACAAGGTGTTCAGCTTTGGGTTATGGCTTTCCTTACCATTCTTGCCCAACAAGAGAGTGAGGGCTTGCCACTTCTGGGGTTCCCCTACTTGGAGGAAGTGAACCACCAGCTCTGATGTTCTCAGGTGTTACAGTGTCCATCAGGCCATTTCTGTCGCCATCCAGCCCCCCACACATTTGCTGTGTTTTCAAAGCATGTTTAATGTCACTTACTGCCTTTCTCTCAATCGCATAATATCCACGTTCTTGCTTCGCCAAGGATGAATGTTTAGAATACAAACTCTGCATTGGTGAGAGAGATGGGCCTCTCTACCTACCTACTCACACTTGGACCAGACAGATTCTTTGTTATCTCTTTGTACTTACTAGATCGTGAAACCTTTTTTATGTCATTAAGACCGTTAGAGACCATCTGTCTTGTGAGTGCATTGTCTAGTCTGTTGACCACGTCCTGTTTTTAGTCTGCCTTGCAGTGGGGTGTTCAGTTGTTCCCAGTGTTTTGGTTCCATAAAGAACCGCACAAGGAATGTCTTTGTTTCTGGGCCCTTGTGTGCTTCCACGATTACTGTCTAAATTACAGGATCATTCAATTTATAGGATTGGCGTTTAACATTAGGTTACGGTAAACAGGATCGCTGGCTCCAAGGGCGTGTGCGTTTTCAAGGCTGATCCAGAGAGGATGTTCGAGGCCAGCCTGGTTTGGGACCTGGGCCTCCTATGGGGCTGGTTTGTGCTGGAGTTGCAATCACAGGTCCCGTGTGCTGCGGCCCAGGGCCTCTAGGCTTTCTGGAATGCGTAGACTGGAGACACAGGTGCAGGAGGGTATTTGAGCGGTCCTGTGTGCTCCTGTGTCGCTCAGCACAGCTTCAGTCTGCTTGCTTTAAAGAGAAGGGCCCAGTGTCTGTCTGTGGGCAGGAATTCATCCGTTGTTGGTAAGGGGCAAAGGGCATCCTGTGAGAGTCTCATGAAATAAATATTTCCCTGTGAAGTTATTCTTGGGATGTGTGTGTGTTTGAAGATAGGTCCATGGGGCAACTTAAACACAAAGACAGAGTTAACAGTGTGAATTCCAGGTGGGTTTCAAGTGCAGGCTTGGAATGGTTCTCTTTTCCCACCCCAAATATTTAGGGCCATCTTTCTTCTCACAGCTACTTAGCAGTCTGCCCAGAGGGGAGCTGGCCTTTGTGACGCCACGTGGTGGTGGTCCCATCTGAGGGACTGGGGCTGCGCAGGGGCCCCCAAGTCCACGTGGGCAAGTGAACCTTTGCTCACTGCCCTGTGGTTGGCACGGTCCCTTTGTGCAAGTTCACGAGGCCAAAGGCAGAGATTACCGAACCAACTCAGCCGCTCAGACCTAAGGTGACTTTGTGGTCTGAATGCAACCGCCCGGAGCCTGTTTTTCCTGGAACTCTTATTTATGAAAAATTCATTTACCTTTGCTTCTGCTCTCTTTGTTCTGTTCTTAGCATCCTCCTGTGAACCTTCAGGTCGGGGCAGAGGAAGGTGGTGATTCTTTTCAAGTCCGTCATGAGTAATGTTTCCAGAAACTTTTGAACTGGAAAATGAATTACCGCATGCCATAGTCTATTAATAGGTTTTTTAAAGCTCAGAACTAAAAGAAAATGGAGAGAGTTGTTTATGGTTACAGTTTCAGATTTGCAAGGTGAGAAGGTTCTAGAGATCTGTCTTACAACAGTGCAGATATATTTAACACTACTCAAATGTGCCCTTAAAAACGCTCAGGATGGTGAATTATGTAAGTCTTTTACCACAATTAAATTTCTTTAATGTAAAAAATATTTTATTCTTTTTTATTTCTTTTTTTTTTTTTTAAGTTTATTTTTTGAGAGAGAGAGAGAGCATGAGTGGAGAAGGGGCAGAGAGAGAGAGAGGGACAGAGGATCTGAAGCGGGCTGCATGCTGACAGCAGAGAGCCCGATGCGGGGCTTGAACCCACACACGGGCGAGATCATGACCTGAGCCAAAGTCAGACGCTTAACCGACTGAGCCACCCAGGTGCCCCTATTCTTCTTTATTTTTATTTAAGCATAGTTGACACACAATGTGACGTTAGTTTCAGGTGTATAATGTAGCGATTTGATAAGTTTATATGTTACGTTGTGCTCACTCTGAGTATAGCTGTCGTCTGTCACCATAAACATTGTTGTGGTATCATCGACTATATCCCCTAGGCTTATGCCTTTTATTCCCATGACATTCATTCCGTCCCTGGAAGCCAGGATCCCCTCCCCGCCACCGCCGCCCCCCCCCCGTCCCCCGCCTTCACCCATGTTTGCTCATCCTGCACCCCTCCTCTCTGGCAACCACCGGTTTGTTCTCTGTATTTACAGGTCTGATTCTGCTTTTTGTTGGCTCGTTTACTCATTTGGTGTTTTTAGTTTCCACATGAGTGAAATCCTATGGTATGTATCTTTCTCCGATGGACTTATTTCCCTTAGCATAATGCATCCTAGGTGGTTCATTTTTTTAAGACGTTAAAAAGAAAGTCCTTTTCCCCACATTTGAATGGTCTCTTCCATTTTGGATGAGTACGCATAAAGATCTGTGCAGGCCGGAAGCTGGGGAGAGCCTAGGAAGATACATTTTTAACCGTGAAAGTTTCAGGTTAAGACACGCTCTGGCTGGGGCACCTGGTTGGCTCTGTCAGTTAAACGTCCTACTTCGGCTCAGGTCATGATCTCACAGTTCATGAGTTCGAGCCCTATGTCAGGCTCCGTGCTGACAGCTCAGAGCCTGGAGCCCGCTTGGGATTCTGTGTCTCTCTCTGTCTCTCTCTGCCCCTCCATCACTCACACTCTGTCTCTCTCTCTCTGAAAAATAAACATAAAAAAAAAAAAAAGGCACATGCTGGTTGACTTCAAGATCAGTGTGGGGGCACCTGGGGGTCATGATCTTGTGCTTTTGTGAGATCGAGCCCCTCATCAGGCTCTGTGCTGACAGTGCAGAGCCTGCTTGGGATTCTCTCCCTCTCTCTCTCTTCCCCTGCCCCCCTTGTGCTCTCTCTCTCTCTCTCTCTCTCAAAAAAAGAAAATAAAAGATCACAGTGTTGGTGATGTTCAGCTGTTTTGTTACTGCAAACAATACTGCCATGTGTAGAATCTGTTTCTGAAAAGGGCCCCATCGCTCTGCACACTATTTCCCCGCAGGGCAACAGGACCGTGGCCAGGATGCTGGGAAATGACTTTCAGGGCTGGGGATGGCGATGCTTGGGCCCCGGTGCTGCTCAGCAGCTCCTACTGTGAGTGTCTGATCCCTGGGGAAAGTCGCCACTCCTCCCCCCTCATCTTCCCGGCCACCAGGTCTGAGTGACTGCCCTCCCTCTGCACACCGTGCTGACGTGTCTGGGGTTCTCGGATTCGACTCAGGACCTCACGGGGAGCTGTGCACAGGTCTGGGGATAGGAGCTCGTTTCCTGTCAAGCGTGAGGGGAGCTGCTAAGGGGTGATGCCCCATGTCTATTCCTGCGAGTGGGCTCGGACCCTCAGAGTCCCTCCTAGGGGAGACCCTTCCTTCCTCCTGATACACAGACCCTCCCAGTCATAAAGCACTGAGAAAATAGTTCTTTTGCAAGACCACCGCCCATGTTGCTGACCTGGAATGTTTCAGCCAGCGCCCCCCCGCCATCATCAATATGGGTAAACTGGGGAAGGAAGGGGCTCCCCTGGGTCAGCGTGGTGGCAATGACCTTGGAAGTTTATTTGCTTTGCTACCTTTCACTTTTCTTCACAAAGGCCACAGCTGGAATACTCACTTATCCCGTGGAACCGGTCATTATTTGGGGCCCAGGCCTGGGCTTTGCAAAGACAGGAATCCACACACAAAGTTACTGTGGCCTTTATTTTATCTTCCTTTGCTGAGGGTGATATTTTCTCAGCCTCTTTTTCTTTAAATTTTTTTTCAACGTCTCTATTCATTTTTGAGAGACAGAGAGTGAGCAGAGGAGGGCAGAGAGGGAGAGGGAGACACACAGTCGGAAGCAGGCTCCAGGCTCCGAGCTGTCCGCACAGAGCCCGACGCGGGGCTCGAACTCACGGACCGCGAGATGGTGACCGGAGCCAAAGTCGGATGCTTAACCAACTGAGCCGCCCGGGCGCCCCCTATCTCTTTCTTTTTT